ATCTTGGTTCCTCCTCTCCAGCACTGCTGCAGACGGTGTTGGTGCTAAGTTCTAGCTTCTCAACCAAGTGCACAGGCCTTAGCCGCTACTTCAAACTTCTCATTCCTGTAATTCCAAATACAACCCTACTGCTTCTCAGCCAATGGCTTTGCTTTCTGTTGCTCAAAGGAAAGAGAGGCAGAGAGGCGGGTTGCTTTCTGATTCCCTCCTCAAAATCTACCTACACTCTACCCACCTTAAACTTTTATAAAGCTCTGGCCTCTGAATGGCTGATATCCCTATTTAAGCTTGCATTCCCTGCAACTTCCTTGGGAATCTCCCATCATCACTTGTCCCTTCTCACTTAACTTTTTCCCTTGATACTGGTCCCTTTGCAGCACATGAAGGGAATTTGTGTTTGTAGGAACATGTTGGGGGTTTGGAGTCTGAATAGGGGCAGGGAAAAAGTACTCTGGATGAGAATGATAATGGGACAGATTTGACTGAGAAGAATTCAAAGATAGGAATGGAGGACTATATAGATGTTGCAAGGGAGTTGTTGAAAAAAGCAAAGTTCCTGGATTGTCTGGACTGTTACCTTTCTCTCTCAATTCCCTCACTAACTCCATCTCTTTTCCTGATTTTCATTCCCCCGCTCTCATGTTGAAAACTTCTAAAACTCCAAGGCAAAATCTGAGTCCTGTAGGAGAATGATGAAAAAGTTCAGACCCTGTAAAGCCACTGAGAGTTGGGTAGTTGAAATGTTACTATACCTTTATTTTGTAAGTAATAGGACTCATTCCTGCCCCACCAAGCTGTCGATCCCTCTCCTAGATGTGCTCTGATGAATCCCACCACTGGGTGCAAGGTGTAGTGGGGCTGCCCATCAGAGGGAGCTAACCCATTCCCTATGGATACATAAGGCCCCATCCAACCAATCAGCTTCTCTCACCAGGAACTTGAATTTGATGGAAGCATGTAGTTAGAACCAAGTTATTCTGACAGCCTCTTGTCGAAGAAATTTCTCTTTAGTTCCTCTTTAGCTTCCATAATTCAAGTTCTTCCTAAGGCTTGACTGTTCAGCTTTTCCTTTAACTGTGAGATAGTCAATATCCTTCTTATTTATTTATTTATTTATTTTTTATTTATTTATTTTAAGAAGTGGGGTACAGGCCAGAGTCATGGTGGTGGGGTGGGGTGAGAAGATTCACCAGAGAGAGCTGGGAGTAGAACAGGCAGATGTACCGAAATACACTACTGAGGGGAGTTGTGGGCAAGACAGGAGAGGTCTGCCATGCCATGTGGGATGCTCCCCTGCTGGCTGGGGATCGAACACGCCCTGCAAAGACCACGTACAGCCTCATAGCTCTGCGCTCAACCCCCTGCACCACCAGGGAGTTCCCAAGATAGTCAATATCCTTTCATCACTTCCATCTCTGTTGTTTTAATCAGGAAAGATTTGTCACTTGCAACCAGAGAATCTTAACTGATAAATATATATAACTCTCCAAAGCTCTTCTGAAGATATTCAAAAAGCAACTGACTTGCTGCCATATGATCTTTTTGCTCCCCCTTTATGAAACACCATCCGGAAAGTACTTTATCCTCTGAGTCTGTAATATCAGTACTATTACTGTACCCATTTTGTAGAGGATGGAATGAAACACTGAAAGATATGGGTATCTACCCAAGGTAGCAGGAATTTTAGTTACTCCATGGCAGTAAAATTCAGTGTAGCCTGAGGAGGTTAATGAAAGAGATCACTTTCTCCATCTGTCTCTATCTCATGTGGTCTGCCACCTCTGCTTCTGCTCCATCTTCCTGCCTTTCTCTGTAGACTGGCTAGATTTCTCACTCATTATTGTTGAAAAAGACTGTGCCAAACCTAACTCTAAATAGTAAATCTCTTCAAACTTCTACCATCAATTATGTTTCTCAGTTTGAAATATTGAGAGAAAATCATTTGTTGCCTGGACAACAGGAGTAGTCTGAAAAGTGTCCTCTCCCCCAAGATATCTACCTCCTAACCCCTGGAACCTGTGAATGTTGCCTTATATGGAGATAGAGTCTTTGCAGAAGTAATTTAAGTTGTGCATTTTAAGTTGGGGAGCTTATCTGGTTGGACCCTAAATGCAATCATGTGTATCCTTATCAGAGTGAGAGATTAGACACGGAAGAGAAAGTGATAGGCAGATGGAGAAAGAGATTGGAATGAGGCAGCCATAGGCCAGGAATGCTTGCAGTCACTAGGAGCTGGAAGGGATAAGAAACAAATTCTTCCCTAGAGCCTCTGAAGGGAGGACAGCTCTGCTCATGCTTTGATTTTGGCCAGTGATGTTGATTTCAGACAATCAGCATCCAGAACTGACAGAATAAGTCTTAAGTCATCAAATTTGTCATAACAGCTACAGGAATCTAATACAACAGCCAATTCTGACCTGCATCAGATGTCTACTCAATGTTCAATCATTCTGTCGAGGGGATGTTAATAGGAAAAATATAGGCACTGGAACCTATTCTCTCAGCAGTGGCTATGAGAAAGAAGTAGGTGATCAACTCTCAGAGAAAGGGCACGGGAGAGGAGACACTTGTGAAATAGTATTACTTGCACAGTGCTATATAGGGTCAAAGTGAAACGGAATCCCTATGGCACAAGCTTGGGGCAAAACTGGCTTTTGCCCAATGCATAAGTGGGGGTATGTGATGGCTTTGTTGGTGTTGCTGGCTCACAGCAAGTACAGCTGGAGGGCAGACTGGCCCAGGCAGCTGGCAGCAGCAGTAGCAGCAGTAGAGAAGTTGAGGAGGTTTCCCTGTCACCACCCAATCATGCTCACTGCCTGTAGGCAGCCCCTCCCCCAGCTGAACTCTGGAGCCCTGGCTCCCCTCTCCTGCAGCACCACCCCAGGGAATGCAGCCTCTCTAGGGCTGCAGTTGCAAACCCTAAACCCTGTGGCACCTGGTGCAGGTCTGCAGGGAGAATTGTGTCCCACTGGGCCAGCACTGTGGCTCCCTGGAGCAGCAAGCAGTAGAACCCCATGGAATACTGAGCTAACATGGTGGGTTCCCAGCAGAGCCCATCCTGCAGCAGCACCTGGACTTGTGTCCCAGCACTGTTGCAAAGTCTATCCCTCCCACCCCCCTGTTCCCCTGTTGCATTATTACACCCAACCCTGCTGAAAAAGAAAAGAATGAGCTGATTGGTACTAAATGGTCCAATCAGTCACTTAGAATTGAAAGTGATCCAATCAGGCTTATAGCTTGGGGAACTTGAAGGGAAATAATAAGGCAGGGCAGGAGCCAGCCTCAGAACAGTCTTTTCCTGGCCTCTGAAGAAAGGAGCAGCATCAGCAGCCAACCTCTGAAGAAGACAAGCATCCAGCATCTGACCACTGAAGAAAGAAGAATTATGCAGTTGGCCTCTGTAGACTGTTGCAGAGTCTCAGCCACTCTATCTGCCTCCAGCCCTGCCTCTAACATGGCATGCAAGGAACATCAATGGCTTGGGTCTGGTGTCTCAAAGCTGTTTATTGTTGGTGTAGACCAACATCTCACAAAGAGCTGTTAACACTGATGTGTCTCACACCGACTCCCAATAAACTGGTAATGATTGGCAGTACTGGATAGAGCTACCCAATACTGGTGACAGGTAACTGGCACTCTGTGTCCAGATCACTTTTGGGAGTTGTCCACTGCTTCTGATCACCCAGCACTGCCTCCTGGTGCTGTTATTTTCTATTGTTGTCTAGTCTAGCATCTGATGCTATCCAGCCTGGCCTACAGACTTTTGTTGTGGTCTGTTGCAGTGTTACCTTAGCCACTCCACTTGTGAGCACCTCCAGCTGGCTGTGTGAGTTGAATCCTGGCCCACTGCTTGCTAATATGCCAGCATCTCTAGGCTCTCATTGGCAGAACAGCACCATCTTGCATGAGTGGCCTTTGTTTTGGGACTACGTTAAGTAAACCCTATTGTTGTTGTTCCCTAAGCCTGAGTGGTCTTGCAATTGAGCACAGGGGTAAGAACCCATAGACAGTGACCTGTCCCCTATGTTGGCACTGTCCTTTGACCTGTATAGCACTGCTATAACACTGTTTCACTTGCATGCATCCCACTGCCACTGCCTGACACCTGTTATCACTTACCACCTAGGCATGAGAGGAGATATTGAGAAGCACAGGCCTTAATGCAGCACCAAATGTAGGCCTTTCTCCTTTCCCACCCAAACAGTTCATAGGTAGACCTCTGACTGGGCAGCCCAGGGAAAACAGGTGAGGTCAGAAGATGATTCTACCTTGTTGAGCTAATCCAAGAAAGTGTTTACCTAACACACATCTTTAACCAAAACTGGTGACAAATTCGTAGCATAGGCACCAATCTGTAGTCCAGGGAAAGATAGGACCAGCACATCCCGGATAGCTAGAAAGACAACAAAAGCATTTAGTCATTTATTCAACAAATGTTTGCTATGCATAGTTATGCACCACCTAGGTGATAAAAAATATACAGCCATCGTCTTCATGGGTTGAGAAAAGTTAAGTAGATAAATGAGCAAAATAATTACAAACAGAGAAAAGGCTATGAAGGAAAGGAGTACGTTTTGGAGACAAAATAAGGTATATGAGTGGATGGAGGAATAGTGGTGGTGGAAATCAGGGTTTGAAATCCAGGTTATATTGGGGAGAGAGACTGTCTGTGAGAAGTTTGACCTAAGAAGTCCATGAGACCCTTAGATTTTAAACCTGGGCGTGCGTGGGAGTAAAGATTTAAGCAGAAAATGCAAATTTGCTACTTAGAACCATGGAAATGAAGGAAAGTCCAGAAAAAAGAGCACACAGGGAAGATGGTATAAGTTTTATCTTTGGCATAGAAAAGCAGATGAAAACCTGATGTGTGTGAGCAAACAATTCACAAGAAACACTCTACAAAATTGCCCGAAATTGTCGCTTCCTGGTTCCGCCTTAGACTACATTTCCCAGGATGCCTTGCGAGCTGCGCGAGACCGGAATTCCTCCCCTCTGCTTCCCGCGCATGTGCCCTCAGGTAATCATGGCGCCCGTCAGAGTCACTGGGTCGTTGCGGAGACTTTTGGCAGGTTCTCGAGGCACGGAAAGGTTCCCTTTGCGGGCCCGAGCTCGGCTCCAGCACGGCGCCCTCCTTCATCCGCTGCCCGGGCCCTGTGGGGCGGGAATGTCACGCCGTCAGCTCGCCTCCGAGGCCGGTAAGTGACCTGCAGGTGTCCATTGCGGCGTTCTCCTGGGATACTGAGCACCGCTAGCCCCAGCTCCTCCTGCAGCGCGCCCCAAGACCCAACGGGCTCTCTTCCGTCTCAGCAGGGCCTGTCCTCACCTCCGTTTGTTTGTTTGTTCCGTTGGTGAACCAACAGTGCCTGCCTGAACTCTGCTCTTTGCGAAGCGCCGCACGAGGTTTAGGGGATACAGCGAACTTAAGACTTGACGCAAGATTTTTCCTTGAAGGATCTCATGGTTCAGTGGGGGAAGTAGCAGTTCATTGTGATATAGGGTAGGGAAATGCCAATAAAAGTAGCGTCCTACTGAAGCCAGTGTGCGCTGTTAATTTAGCCCTTGAACCACCACAGGTTCTTGTCCCAGGACACCGTAAAAGGGGAGTCGCAGGTTTTTTAAATAAGTAAGCAGAGGGAAGCAAACTTTATTCAAGAAAGTAAAGAATAGCTTAAAGAAAGCAAGCAAGGACTCCCAGGTGTGCTGTATCTGGGAGGGGCAAAGAAACCATTATGGGCCCGTCTCAGGGATATTTAAACCCTTTTTCTCTTTTCTAAAATCTCACCATCCTATTTTGTGATTAGTTCTTTCTCCTAGTGGCTACACTCCTCTGAGAAGATATGCCCATTTCCCCAGCTCTTAGAGTTACTCCTTTCACCTACCCCTGTCCAAAGTCTCCTAAAATTTAATGTCCCAATTAGCCTTAAAATTTGCTGCCCTAGAGGCCTCCTTGGTGGTGCAAGGGTAAGTCGCAGCACTATGAAGCTCTCTGCAGCCACTGCAGCACGAGTTCGACCACCTGCCAGGGAGCTATCCACATGGCACAGCAGACCTCTCCTGTCATTCCAGTTGCTGCTCCCCTCACCAGAGTATTTCAGTCAGTCTGCCAGTTCTGTTCCCCACTCTGTCTCAGGTGAATCTTACCCCCTCCCCACCTCTGGTCTGTACCCAGTTTTTGCGTACATAAATAAATAAATCTTTAAAGAAAAATTTATTGCCCTCTGCCCTTATCTCAGAAGCCTCTTTAACTCTCCCAAAGTCCCTGCCTGTACGGTCTCTGAAGCTGCCTAATTAACCCTAACTTGCCCTAGGACTCAATACTAGGTTGAAAGGGCAAGAAAAGTTTCATGGAAGATAGGTAAAGCTGAGACCTGGTTAACCTTGTGAGGGAAAAAACAAGTATTTTAAGCAGAGGAAACAGCATAAGCAAAAGTCCAGAAGTGCGATTGAACACATGTAGTGTGAACCCATCTTGGAAATAGGGTTAATGAGGCTTGGTTATGGCTTTGGATCTAGGTTTGAAAGAACCAATGTTGATTTTCAAATTTCTTTCTGGCTTGAGTAGTTGAGTGGGGAGTAGCCCCACTTATACCAACACAGAGAAGATTAATTGTAGCCACACTTTTTAAATCAGGAAGCAGAGAGGGGAGGTGGAAGAAGCAAAGCCCGGAGTAGATGAGGTGAGGAGATGGAAAGGGAGGCAACTAAATGTCTGCTTTGGACATCAAATTTGAGGTGCCTTTGAGATATCAGTGGCGGTATCCAGTGTGCAGTTAGATACAAGTTGTGAAAGGTCAGGGTAAAGACAGGGTGGGGAAGCTGGGAGAGTGAAGTGGATGACATTGTCTGAGGAGGGAGAAGTGCTGTGTGTCCAGTAAATATGTGCCTGGTACCATAAGGGACCGTTGGTGCCAGAGTATAAGATGGGGTTCAAGCCTGGGAGAGCTCATTGTATAGTTGGGCACATAGAGATGTAAGCAGGCCACCTTAGCCTTTTATAAAATATTTTGCAAGTCACTGGTAAGTTTTAAACATGAGGATGATCTTGATTACATTTTTAAAAATAAGAACAAAGAACGAAGTGAGTGGACTATGATGGTGGAATATGAGTGAGTTGGTGATGGATACACTATGGTGGTAATTCCTGATGGGGAAATTACCATCATAGTGCTGCTAAAATTAATCTTCTCTGTGTTGGTATAAGGGGGGCTACTCCCCACTCAACTACTCAAGCCAGAAAGAAACTTGAAAATCAGCATTGGTTCTTTCAAACCTAGATCCAAAGCCATAACGAAGCCTCATTAACCCTACTTCCAAGATGTCACCTCAATTAAAATTAAAAATAATTTTTTAAAAAGATTTATTTATTCATACAAGAGCTGGGATACAGGCCAGGGATATGGGAGGTGAGAGGATTCATCAGAGACAGAGTGGGAAACAGAATAGGCAGATTCACTGAAATACACTGCTGAGGGGAGCAGTGGACAAGTCAGGAGAGGTCTGCTGCACCACGTGGGTAGCTCCCTGGCCAGGGATCTAACTCGTGCTGCAGTGGCTGTGGCTAGCTTCATAGGTTGCATTTTAACCCTTTGCACCACCAGGGAGGCCCAATTAAAAATACTTTTATCAGTTTTATTGAGATATAATCTATATCTCAGCAGTGTATAAGTGTAAGCTGTACAGCATGGTGATTTTGCTTATGTATATTATGAAGTTATTGCCACAGTAAGAGTTAACAACCATCCTCTCATATATACACAAAAAGGAATATAAGGTTTTCCTCTTGTGATGAAAATGTTTAGGTTTTACTCCCTTAACTTTCCTATATTCCATAGAGGAGTGTTAACTGGTCATCATGTTATTACATCTCTAGTACTTATTTATCTTAGGACTGTCAATTTTTTCCTTTTGGTCTCCAGTTCTGTTTTCCTTAATCCATTTCTCCTTTTCCCACTCTCTGCTTCTGGAACTCACAGATCTTATCTCTTTGTTTTTCTTTTTTAAAAAAAAAATGTTTTAAGTTTCCACATATAAGTAAGATCACAGAGTATTTGTCTTTCTCTGTCTACTTAATTGATTTAACGTAATGTCAGCAGGGGCCATCCATGTTGCAAATGGCAGGATCCCGCTTCTCCTTTCCCTTCTTTTAAAGGCCAAATAATAGTCCATCTCTCTCACACACACATATGCACACACACACACACACACACACACACACACATCCCTCCACACTTCTCTATCCATCTTCAGCTGTTGATGAACGCTTCGGTTGTTAACATGTCTTGGCTATTGTAAATAATGCTGCTATGAACACAGTGATACAGACATCTCTTTAACATAATTTTGTTTCCGTCAACTATATTCCCAGAAATGGAATTGCTAAATTACATGGTAATTCAGTTTTCAATTTTTAGTTCTTATTTCCATAGTGGCTTATTAATTTATAATCCCACCAAAAGTGCACAAGGTTCCCCCTTTTCTCCACATCATCGCCAGTGCTTGTTATTTCTTCTCTTTTGAACAGTGTGAGGTGATACCTCATTGTGGCTTTAGTTTGCAATTCTCCAATGATTAGTAGTGTTGAGCATCTTTTTGTGTACCTGTTGGCCATTCATGTACCTTCCTTGGGAAAATGTCCATTAAAGTCCTTTAAATTGGATTATTGAAGGTCGGGGGGTGTTCTTTGAAAGCTTTAAGATGTTCCTTCTAAGAAGAAAAACAGTGCCAGGCCCCATCTAGAGAGTGGGAAACTACCTGTCTTGGATTATTTGGGGTTTCTTTTTGTTGCTGTTGTTATTGAGTTGTATGAGTTCTTTATTTTGAACATTAGCCCTTTGTCATATATGTGGATTGCAATTTTTTTTTTTTTTTTTTTTTTTTACTATTTTGTGGGTTGACTTCATTTTGTGCTTTAATTTTGTTTCATTTGCTGTGCAGAAGTTTTTAAGTTTGAGGTAATTCTACTTTTTAGATACTTTTTATTTTGGTGCTAATGCTTTAGGTGTCAACCATACAAAAGATTTTTGCTAAGACTCATGTCGAGGAATTTTTTTCTGTTTTCTTCTAGGACTTTTATGACTTCTGGTCTTTTGAGTTTTCAATGCATTTCTAGTTAAATTTTGTGGATGGTGTAACTTATGGTTTTATTTTATTCCATTACATGTGAATGTCCAGCTTTTTTCAACACCAGTTGTTGAAGAGACTGTCTTCTTCATTGAGTATTCTTAGCTCCTTTGTCAAATATTAGTTGGCCTTACATGCATGGGTTTATTTCTGGGCTCACAATTCCGTTTGCATTGGTTTATGTGTCTGTGTTTATGCCAGTATCATACTGTTTGATTAGTATATCTTTGTAATAGAGCTTGGAATCAGAATGTCTGATTTCTTCCATTTTCTTTTTCAGGATTGCTTTGGCTCTTCAGGGTCTTTTTTTTTTTTTTTTTTTTTTAAAGATTTATTTATTTATTTATACAAGCACTGGGCACAGTCAGAAGCGCGGGAGGGCGAGAGAATTCACCGAGCCAGAGCAGGGCACAGAGCAGGCAGAAGGACCGAGGTACACCGCTGAGGGGAGCAGTGGGCGGCAGGAGAGGTCCACGCGCCATGCGGGACCCTCCGCCTGTGGCCGGGGAGCAGCCGGGGATCGAACTGGTGCTGCAGAGGCTGCGGGCAGCTTCGCAACCCAGCACTCAACCGCTGCGCCACCGGGGAGGCCCTCTTCAGGGTCTTTTGTGGTATAAATTTCTGTGAAAAATGCCATTGGTTAGGATGGCATTTTAACAGTTCTCTATGGACACTTATTTGTATTTTCTTCAAATTTTTTCATCATTGTCTTAAAATTTTCAATATGGATATCATTCAATTCATTGGTTAAATTTATTACTAAGTATTTTATTGTTTTGATGCTTTCGTTAATAGAATCATTGTCTTACAAAGGAAGAGGTGAATAGCAAGGATTTTTTTTCCTGATGGCAGTAGAAATAGAGGTTAGGCAAAGGGATACACAAACTGCATAAGACGAGCTGAGATCTGCTTCTCTCCTGTCGAAGGTTCTTCCATGACACCACGTGTCTCTTCAGCATTAGGTCCAGAGATCCAGGCTTCTCTTTCCTGTGCAACCCCTTAACCTAGAATTTCCATTTTTTTCTGTGGCCTCTTCTGGCCCCTGGGAATCCTTCTTTGACCCTACCATGCTCTTCTTTGCTCTATGTATAGTTCCTTCCTCTGTCATTACCCCAGCCTCCCTCTCCCCTGAACACCTCCCTTGTATGTAGCACTTACACCGAGGAGTGTCATGGTAGATTGGAATTGATGTAGGCTCTGCAACCAGAAAACTTTAATTTAAATCCTCACTTCGTCACTTAATAACTAGCTGTCTTTAGGCAGGATCCAGTGTCATTTATAAAATTAGGATGTCTATACTTATTTTCTGGGTTGTAAGTATTCCTAAAAATGTTTGTCATATTTGGCATGTAGGTATGCAAATGGTAGCAACCATTGTTATTAATATTATTACATAAATTACTTTTCTCCTGTTGCTTCCTCCAACAGACTTTGAGTGCCCTTTGGGTAGAAACTGTGTCATCATTATAGTGAATACTTAGCAAACTTTAAATGAAGGAATCAGTGAATCTCATAGTATTAGACTTAGGCATATTGAGGTGGACACTGTGCTGATAATTTCTATTGTTAACTTACTTTTCTATTTACGGGCCTTATTGGCTTGTTATTTTTGTCATCTTATTTACTAAAATTCATTTTAACAGAATCTGGTAGCTTAGAGATCAAGAAACCTACCTTTATGGATGAGGAAATCCAAAACATACTAATCAAGATGACAGGCTTGAATCTACAGAAAGTTTTTAAGCCAGCTATACAAGAACTGAAGCCGCCAACCTATAAGCTGATGACCCAGGCACAACTGGAAGAGGTATGTAAATGCAGAGATATCAGTAGAATACCTTTCTTTAAAGGGCTAAATGATATTTCCAGAGGCCCCTCTAGATATCGATAGCTTCTGTTCCTATGACTACAGTCACTAGTGAGTGCTTTGTGGAAGACACTTTGATATATGAACATATGAAGCATTTTGCTCTTTCTACTTCAAAGTAGAAGTCATTGTGAAAAGTTCAAATTTCCAATAGTATATCATATGAAGGGGGCAAGTCCCCCTTTCATCTCTCAGAGGTAACCAATGTTAGCAGTATGGCATGGAGCCCTGTGGTCAGTGGTTAAGAGCAGGAGCCTAGGTTCTGGCATTGAATTGCCTGGGTTCAAATCCCAGTACTACAACTTCCTGGTAATTTATAGCAGGTCTTTGAATAATATCTTTTGTTCAACATCATTTCACTATGAAGTTGATGAGAAGATAAAAAATCCCAGCCTACATTGAACAAAACAACGTTATTTTAGGACATGCTTTTCTTAAACATTTCACTTGAAGTCACAGTTCCCAAGAACCTATCAACATTGAGGATGTAGCATACATAACAATTATGTGCCTGTTTTTTCATAAAATGAGATGAAACCACCTACTCATTAGGTATTTGTGGACATTAAATGAGCCAAGTACATTCAGAGTATTTGAACAATATCTGGCACATAGTAAGCATCCAGTAAATGCAATAGTTTATTCTATTTCAAGCTTTTGTGGCCTGGTTCTACTCAGAGCATTCCTTTGTGTTTTGACAATGGTTGAGCTTGTAGTTGATCCTTTCAGGCATACCACAGAAGCAGAGTCCACAGCCTGAGATTCATGACAACAGCAAAACTCTTTGTAATCCTTAGAATTTTTTATTAATTTCTGCTTTTGTCAGATGATATTTTGATTTGTAACCTTGTGACTTAAATATTTTATTTCATCAGGCTACAAGACAGGCAGTTGAAGCAGCTAAAGTACAATTAAAAATGCCACCAGTTCTGGAAGAGCGAGCACCCATAAATGATGTATTAGCTGAAGATAAGATTTTGGAAGGAACAGAAACAACCAAATACGTGTTTACAGATATATCATATAGCATACCACACCGGGTGAGTATGTGTCTAATAAATAGCAAAATGATCTTTATTTGAAGTAGTGTGGATATGGGCTTGAGGATAAGGGTCAACATTATGTGACTCAGCTATCTCCGATGCTTTCAAACCAGAGTTCCTATGACTGGGTGAGACCTTCTGCAAGATAGAGCAAAAGGAAGAAGAGAAATACAAACCAGCCCCACAACTTCCTTGCAGATTATGGACACAGTATATTCAAATTGATTGCAAAGAAAGGTGCTGAGACAAAACAAGGGTTTATAGACAGAAACCTACCTTCAAATTACAAAAAGGCAGAAAACATGAAGGCAGTGGGAAAAGGGAGATTCTCTGCCTAAGTTACACTAATTTTTTTTTTTTAAAGATTTATTTATTATGCATGCAAGAGCTGGGGTACAGGCCAGAGGTGTGTATGTGGGGGAGGAGGGGTTGTGTGTGTGAGAGAGAGTATTCACCAGAGACAGAGCAGGGAATAGAACAGGCAGATTGACCAAAATACACTGCTGAGGGGAGCCGCGGGTGAGACAGGAGAGGTCTGCTGTGCCATGTGGGTTGTTCCCTGGCAGGCCAGGGATCCAACTGCTGCAGAGGCTGTGTACAGCTTCACAGGCTGTGTCTTAACCCTTGCACCACCAGGGAGGCTCATACACTAATTCTTTAGTTGAAGCTTTTGAAAGGATGGAAGTTTTCTTTTCCGTAAATTTTTGATGAGGCCAAAAAAACCCAGACTTTCCAAAGGATATTCACATTCTTGAATTTGCAGTAAGAGTGTAAGGTTTCCCTAGATAGTTTTCAGACATATTGCTTGTTCTGTTGTAGTTTTTGGTCTCTAGCCCCTCTTCCCTTGATTGCCAGTTCCAAAAGAACACTTGCACTTTAAAAATACATTTTTTTCTGTTTGAGCCTTTTCAAGTAAAGATTAATTCACAACTAGACCCACAAAAATGCAGTAGAATGCAACCTAATGCTAGGGCTGGGAGGATTGCCCCATATTAATCTCTATATCATATATGATTGTGGTTAGAAGACATGATTTGTACAGTGCCCATGTCTGTACATCGGCCATTTGTGTATACTTGATATAATGAACACGAGTCACAGAGTTTTGTATTAATTAGAATTCTTGCTTTGGAGTGCTTTAATACATGTTTTCAGTGGCTTTGAAGGCTGATGTGGGTGCTTTCTATTACATAACCTAAAAGGGAAAAAGGAACTTAGAATTAAAATTACCAATATTCTTTTGAGGAATAATTGTGTTATTTTAGCATCTGCTACTTTTTTTCTTATCTGGAGTGTCTGATTAAAGTTTTAATTATGTTATCCTCAAACCACACTCAGAGACTTTTAACCTCTAAAAACTTAGGAATCACCACTATTTGGTTAATTTTAACATTAATTAGATGTATATCAAGTATCTGCTTCATTCAGAGCTCTATGTCTCTCTAGGTGATACAAAGACTGTGCTTTTCAACTTCTTTAAATGGAAGAAATCAGTATCTGGAAAGTGTCAAAAATCTTGATAAGTAGCTAGTTAAATTGTACAGTGTTTAGATTTCAGAGGAGGATGCAATCCCATGGTCTGGGGTTTGATAGAAGATGTCAGAGGCATGTGGACCAGTCAGTCTTTGACATATTTATGTTTCTTGAGAAATCCTAGAGGTTCAGAATTAAGACGCCACATTCTTAAGATTGTTACTTTTATCCCAGGGACTTTAACCATAGATCTTAGAGTAGTGAAATCCGTTTGGGTGAGAGTTTGGGGTAGAGAAATGAATTTGTAAAGGTCATGTAGCACTTCTTTCCTTCAAAATGGATTTAGATAACTCTCAGATCAGGCTTTTCAGTTGAACCATTTTTTGTGTTGAACTGTAGTTGACACTGTGAATACTTTCATTGTAGATTTTTGATTAAGAGGCACAGCTGTAGTGAAGGAATTATCAAATCTTGCCAAATCTTTGTTGTTTAAAATTATTAAAATCATACATGATTGAATTTTATGATTTTAGTTGCATTTTATGTTGATTGCAAATTACTCTTATAATGGTGCTTAGTGGGACAGTGCAACTCAAAATAAATCTTCACAAACTCATCCTAGATTTTGTTTTCTATATCAGGAGCGTTTTATTGTTGTCAGAGAACCAAGTGGCACACTACGCAAAGCCTCTTGGGAAGAACGAGACCGGATGATACAAATTTATTTCCCAAAAGAAGGTCGCAGAGTTTTAACACCAATAATTTTCAAGGAAGAAAATCTGAAGGTAAGGTGACTTTGGTTTCATAGAGTCAGTGTTGGTGGCTTCTTTGTTGAACTAGTTGATTTTTTTGCTGCTGGACATTTGACTTTGATATAAACATAAACATTTCTAATAACTCCATTAGTGATCTGTCTAGTAATTGGCTGAGATTTGAATCCAGGTATGACAATTTCAAAACTGATGGTCTTTGTGTGTACCATGATGGGCACAGCCACGACCTGTTCATGGATGAATAGGCCTGTCATGGCATCAAGGACAAGTGTTGAGCTTTCCTGTTTATTTCATCTAATTCCAACTCTCCTGTGGTGTTTTAGAACATGTATAGCCAGGACCGGCATGCTGATGTCCTCAATCTCTGTGTTGCCCAGTTTGAGCCAGATTCTGCTGACTATATCAAAGTAAGTATATTTTTGTAGTTTGTAAGTGTGGGCTTAAGTATGGTTATGAGTAAGATTTTTAATCTAGCACAGTGAGTTATAAGCTTTGATAACAAGGAGAAGAGAAGAGATATACTTAAACATCTCTTGAGTACCTGATGTATCTCAGATACTTTATCCTTACAGAAACCCTTGAGTTAATTATGGTTGAGAGAACTTAGAAAATTTAAGTAGCTTGCTGAAAGTTGCACAGGTAGTAAGTCAGGATCCAAACTTCACAGCAAAGCCTATTCTCTAATTTATCATACAGAAACAAGTTATTTACAGAAATTTGCCAAAATGTTGTGTATGTCCTACAGTTCAGTTTAGTAAGCAATAATGTAGTGCCTTTGTGTACAAGTTATTGTAGGGAGTATAGGTGATGACATAAACTAGAATAGAGTGTGCTATGTCAAAGCTTATAGTCCAGAAATGATTGTGGAGAAGGGTGCTAGGTAAGTATATAACCAATTATTTTAGGTCTAAGATGTTAGGTACTAAAAAGGAGGTTACAGAATACTGTCAGGAAAGGCTTCAGAGGAGTCTTGAAGAGGGTTCTAGGAGGACAGGAAACATTGGGGCAGAAGGGTGTTTCAGAGGGAGCAATACCAACAACAGGGAACAAACAACAAAGTACGCTTGAGAAATGGCCATTCGTAGGGTTTGCTTGCATATATGGGGAAGTGGCTTAAGGTTGAGTTAGTAAGGTAGAGGGGCCCAATCACTGGGCTGAGGAATATAGACTTAACTCAGCAGAACTTTTAAGAGCCTTTTGAACACAAGAATATACCCTGATTAAAGTCTTCATTTAAGAATATCAGTCTACACTGGGGTAGTTGATGGGCTAGAGGCCAGGAAGAGAGGAGTGAAAGAATGTTCTTGATATTTTTTTTTCCCCGAGATAAAAAAATGGTAGTCCATTACTTCCAGAGGTCTATATACATGTAACCTACACTTCATAAATAGCGCTTGACTACTGAAAAGTAATTGATACGGCTATATTTGGCAGATTGGTTCTACTCACACTTCTACAAGGGTTGGTGTAAATTTTATCGATTGATGATAGTGGAGACAGTATAAATAGACCTGGTTCTGGGCAGCACTCATGCTAGTAAATGTGTTCAGTAATGTTGCTCACTTATTTTCTGGTTTCTGAAAAATTGTATTTTATGTGGATAGATTCATCATCAAACCTACGAAGATATAGATAAACATGGAAAGTACGACCTTTTACGTTCAACAAGACACTTTGGTGGAATGGCTTGGTATTTTGTAAATAAGAAGAAGATTGATGGTTTACTTATTGACCAGATTCAGAGAGATTTGTAAGTATGATCTTGGTTAAGTAAAAGAGTAATTATTAATGTCACAGTAAATCTGTATGTAACTGGTATTTTCCCAATGATAAGTGTATTGTCCAGTGATGAATAGCTCTTACCTCCATTTGTTTATGGGTTTGTTCTTCCAACATAGCCCAGTTTTCTCAGTTGTTGTTGTGTTCTGTAAAGAGGGCTGTATTCTTTTGAAAAGATTAAAAGTGACTTTGGATCTCTACTGTATATCCTGGATATCCAATTTCCCCTGATGTCACTGATGATCCTGGCTATCAGTGAACCAAGATACTCAAAGGGGATCAAATAGAAAATGTAAAATAGACTTAAGGTCTGGTGGGTATCTGTTGTCTGGTAAGACTGCTTCTAAAGTTTTTCAGTAAAAGTCATTTAGTTTATGAAAATAGTCTTTCCTTTGAGATCCCTTGCTTTTGTAAGATTTTTAAGTCAATGGAAAAAGTTACGATTTTTTTCAAAGAATGTCTTTTATATTTTACCATGCAAATTGCTGTGCTTCCAGGCTTGTAAGTTGAAATAATAATTGTACTTTATAACTTGGGATAAATTTGAGCATCTTTCTATGGCTTGGGTTTGAAAGACCAAATGACAAGGACAGAACCTTTTTCCATGAAAAGCCCTTGCTTTACTGAAAGTCTGAATTACAAGAAGAGAGTTCAGTGATTGTTGCCACCTTCAGACTGCAAGGAGTTTTGACTCAGAGTACCCTCCATGTAGTCTGAGCCATTTACACAAAGATAAAACATTTGCAACGAGAAGCTTCCATAGGCATTATCTAAGAAATATGGCACAAATTTGGAAACAGGACATCAGAAATAGCACTCCCAGTGGTAGCTGATTTCCAGGTCTCTGACTTCACCAGCATAGGTAGTATAATCCAGTTCAGTAGGTAGAGATATACCTTATCTCACATAAGCAGGGGCTTGCTGGTGGCTATAAGGATGCTCAAGGATGACTTACTTTTAGGTGAATTAACAGTTTTATCACCTGTGAAGGTATTTTCCATTGAGTTTCTCAAAGGTAATCATTCTGAAACTATTATAAAAACATTTTTTGGGGTGAAAATCAGAACAGAAACATATGACTTTGAGAATTACTTTATCAAGATGTACAAATATGTGATATTATTGTAATAATTATCATATGTAAGGTTTGTATCTGAAGCAGTTTATGTGCCTTTTGGGAGAGAAATTTGAGTACTTAACTAACTTTTCCTGCTCTGCAGAAGTAAAACAGGTTCTGTAGGAATTCTGAACAGGACAGCTTGCTGCAAAACCCAGTTTAGAAGGTAGAGGGTGCAAGTACTCAGTGAGCAGAGCCCAGGCCAGAATTGGGATTTTGTATGTTTGTTTCAGATTCAAGTCCCACTGTTTGTTTTGAATTGAAAATTTTTAAAAACATTTATTTTTGTGCATACAAGAACTGGGGTATAGGCTAGAGGTGTAGGGGGTGAGAGAATTCACCAGAGACAGAACAGGGAACAGGCAGATTGACTGAAATACACTGCTGAGGGGAGCAGTGGGTGAGTCAGGAGAGGTCTGCTGTACCATGTGGGTAGCTCCCTGGCCGGGGACCGAACTTGTGCTGCAGAGGCTGTGGACAGCTTCATAGGTTTCATCTTAACCCCTTGAGTCACCAGGGAGACCCTTGAATTGAAATTCTTTTAAAGTCTTTTTGAATAAGGAAATTAATTTGCTTTTAATTTTTAGGTACACACTAGGTATGAAGCTAACTTGTTCTGTGAGATGCAAACATTATACTTTAACATGAAAGTAATGAAGCCCTAAACATAACCAATATATAGAAACCTAGTTAAGCTGATAACATGCCTAAGCTATAAAGGGATGCACTTTCATTTGTCACATTTGTTCACATTTCTTAGATTATGACAATCACGATAGATTTGTAACGAGTATTTTAAATCCGCCCCCTCTCCCTGGGAAAATTTTACTGCATGAGTAGATCTGGTTTCTCAGTTATCCCCAAATATGGCCTTTATGGTGGATGGTCCTTGGGGTAGAACCACAGCATCAGAGAATTTCCCTAAAGTCACAATGGCCGAGAAATTCTTTCCTATTCCCAGCACCACCCCACTCTTTACCCTCTAAGTCAGCTATTAAGAAAATAAGGAAGGTTGAAGAGTGATGGCTAGAGAAGCAATGGATTAGGATACCCTCACCTCTACCCCCAACTGAAAGCCAGTAGCTAAAGTGTACACAGCAGAAGCACCAGCACTTCGGGTTATTTTTATATATTCCTTCAGCTGCGAGGTGTCAAATAGTAGGGTCTTGACTCTGTGAGAAGACAGTGATTGTTTGGTTTGGGGAAGTCTAGGGAAGTTTTTTGTTTTTAAAAATCTATTTATTCATACAAGAACCGGGGTAAAGGCCAGATGTGAGGAGGGTGAGAGGATTCACCAGAGACAGAGTGGGGAACAGAACAGGCAGACTGATGAAATACACTGCTGAGGGGAGCAGCGGGTGAGACAGGAGAGGTCTGCCCCACCATGTGGGACCCTTGCTGGCTGACCGGGATCGAACTGGCGCTGCAGAGACTGCGGACAGCTTCACAGCGCGGCGCTCAACCACCTGCACCACCAGGAGAGGCCCAGGAAGTTTTAATGTTAAAGAAAATTGTTTATGTTTCTGAAAAGTTAACTACAAACTTGAATTCTTGTTCTGGCTTCATCATAAAGTTGTGTGACACTAAAGTTAAGACTGCTGAAGTAGACCAGACTTTCCTTCTGTCTGATGTGCATCATTTCAGTAGGATGTTAATTTTTAACTAAGGGTTTCCTGTGAATAGACAGGTGACCTGAGGGCCTTTTCTTGGACTCCCAGGCTGCCACCTGTAGAGGCATTTAGCCTGATTCAGATTCTCAATAAAAACTCCTCGCCAGATGTCACTGCTGATGTACTCCTAGGCAAGTGGCTACAACCCCCATGGTCATCCCCATGGCCACTAGCCTCTGGCTTACATGGGCTGAAGACACATTCCTGCTTCTGGGTTGGAAGACTTTATTATCTGCTATTGAAATGGGCCAGCCAGGAAATCACAAACCATTAAGGATACTGTTTAAGAAGTGATGCTTTCTTTCCAAAAATAGTCATATTTTGAATATATTCACATCCATAAATTGGCACTGCCTGTAGTGATTCCTGTTCTATCTTGGAGTTGGTATGAAGCCTAGACTAGCAAATTTCCCCCAAAATTTTAGTATATAACTGAAGCCTTAAAATTTTTTTTCCTAGCGCAAGGAAAGTTTGAAACGTAATCTAGTTTGAAGTTGGCCCACTTTTATAGGACTGTGAAGGAAATGAAGAAAAGCCCTTGGTAACACTAAGCCCCTTTCTACTCCAGAGTTGAAGATGCCACCAGCTTGGTGCAGCTGTATCACATCCTCCATCCAGATGGCCAGTCAGCCCAGGCGGCCAAGGAGCAGGCTGCAGAGGGATTACAATTAATTAAGGTAAAGGACTTTTTTCATTGGCTTTTGTGTGGTAACTGAATTGGGAAGAATTCTGAAGTGGTCATATTTAATGTTAACAGATCTGTGAGTATGGAACACGTGGGGTCTTGGAAACAGGGATAGACCCCCTGTATTTCTTCAGCCTGGATGACTGAAACAGAAGGGATGGGGCAGAGGGGCTGCAGCTGAAGCCCAAGAAGTTCACATAGTGGGCAGCAGCCCATTGCTTTTTGGAGTACCGGCATCTCAGGTGGTCAGGTCACCACAGGGCCGGGTGCAGGACTAGGAAGCACACGTCCCCAGTGCAGCTTCCTGTCCCAGTGTGATCGCTGCCCAGATGTCCAGAGGGGAGAGGATGGAGCTTGTAGCACAAGCGTCACTGTTATTGTTGTTTTGGAATTACGTAACTCTAAACTGTGGACTAACAGATTTCTCTAAAAATGTTGAGAGTTGACATTTTTTCAGGGAGGATCACTATATAATTTTCGCCTCTTCTAGTGCTCATAATAGACATGGTTTTGTGACTCTGCCTCTATCCCAATATTAGTTCATGCATACTGTACAGCAGTTATAAGGCTTCTCAGGGTAAAACTGCCAGTGATGAAACCTAAGGAAAGAGAAACTACAGAATTAATTTTGATTTTCTGTGATAATCCTGATAGGGCCAAATACTTCTGGAGGAAACATTATTTAAAGTGAAGAATTAGTTTGCTAAATTTTATCCTCCAGATGCTTATCTTGAACCTAATGGTTTTCACCTTGATTTAGCAGGAGTTGCAATGTCAGGTTTTTTTTTTTTTCTGATAATAGTCCAAGAGACAGATAGTAGGATAAGTCTGGTGTTTAAAATTAGTGTTGCTTGCACTGTTTTGGATAGTTTCCAGTTGACATAGCATGCTTATTGTTTTATAATCAGAAAAATTATGAAACTAGGAAGACCTTAACTGGAACTTTTCTAGTATAGAAAATTATTGTCTCAAAACTGAAAACTTTATAAATAGTATATATTCCATTGCTTTAAAACTTTTTTTTTTTTTTTTTTTAATTTAAACAGGTCTTTGCAAAAACAGAAGCACAGAAGGGAGCATATATAGAATTAACACTGCAAACTTATCAAGAAGCATTCGTTAGCCGCTCTGCATCTTCCTGAAAATTTTTTTTAAATAAATTACATTTTACTAATTATGAAATAGTTTTCTCTGTTAATGCTGAGCTGAATGTTTAGAAATGTCACAATTAATAGGTACTGCTTTGGCATTCCCTTTGAACTTCTATTTTCTAATTCCAAATAATGTCTTAACAAAAACACAAAGGAAAACTGGTTACTTGTTACTACTTCATTCACTTTCCTAGGCTACAGGTAGATTTGAGTGCCTAGTTAGGAATTCCTCTGATCATATAAGTGCAGTGTGAAAATAAAAGTATTATGCCTTTTGGATTAACAGACAGGCCAAAGGTCATGTGAACAGAGCCCAGAGTAGTGAGGTCAGAGGGGTTGGAGATTCAGAAGTGAATCTAGTAACAGGTAGCTTGTAGACAAAATCAGGGCCAGAATCCAAATTACACAGACTGGGGGGAATAAGCAATGAGGTAAAAGAAAAAGGGTTTAGAAAATTATAGTAAGGATAGTCAGTTCTAAGAAAAATGTGATTGAGGGCCTCCCCAGTGGTGCAGCAGGTTGAGCGCAGCTCTGTGAAGCTGTCCACAGCCTCTGCGAGTGGGTTCGATTCCCGGCTGGCCAGGGGGAGTCCCACATGGTGCAGCAGACCTCTCCTGTTGTGCCGCTGCTCCCCTCAGCAGTGTATTTAGGTCGTCTACTGTTCTGCTCCCCACTCTGTCTCTGGTGAAGCCTCTCACCCTCCTGCACCTCTGGCCTGTACCCCAGCTCCTGTATAAAAATAAATCAATCTTGAAAAAAATAGAAAAGGAAAAATGTGACTAATGGTATTTGAAAATATGATTTAGTTATGCAAAGAAAAGAGAATGTTGTGGCTGATCTCTGAGTCCACTGCAATTTTGTCTTAACGTGTTTTAAAACTAGAAGCATATTTCCATTATCAGAAAGGAAAGTTTGAAGTATCTTCTTTAATTCAAAAGATTTTATGAGATACAGTCTAATGACAGTATGAAAAAAAAATCAAAGTCCATGTCTGTTTTAGTTGACAAAGAAACATAGTGATTTAGATGCTGCACATAAACTCCTCCTTATGTGAAGAGGGCACTGTGTTCCCAGTGGTCCACAGTGCTTACATATAAAAATCTAAGGAGTTTCTCAGAGTCCAAAGCACTGTGGTTAGGGGATCAATACCTGTCCATAATAATGATCTGTTTTGTTGGGTAAATGGGAAGCATTGCATTCAATCATCCAAAATATCTTCATCAAGGTTGATATCTGTTGTGTCAATATCTTCTAATTCCAAATTATCCAAGTCAACTTCCAGTTCAAGTAAACTCTGCAAAGAAAAGCAAAAGGGAGAGTTATATAGACCTGTGTGATCGCTGATTCATGATCCAAGGAGAACTAAAACTTAACAGTCAAACAAGACATTGTCCCATTCTATAGCCCCTGGTCTGGAACTGATGACATCACTTAAAACGCAGAGGCCTTCAAGGGGAAGGCAGGTGGAAGGGATGGTGCAGGGGTTCCAGTGGGAAGCTTGGGGATGATGCCTGTACCTTTTCTTCTTTGTTGGCTGGGTGAGAGTCCACAATAACAGGAGTAGGAGAAGCAGGTTTCCCATCAGGTTCCTAAAAGCCAAGAATAGATAGATAGAAAAGCAAAGGAATTTGCAGTTTTCCTCAAAGGAAGATTGATCAGGACTAGGAAACTAGAAATGGTACTTACAAACAAATCTCAACCAGATTATTTCATGTAGTTTTTTACTGACCTGTTGATCTGCAGATCTTGAAGGCTGAAAGCCTTTTGCCTCTTCCATAACATTTCGTTCTTCATTGGGCTATCAGAAAATAAAGCAGAAAGATGAAATATTCTGAAGTTATAATTCCTTTATGAACTTGGTCCAAGTCTCAACCCAACAATAATAGATGTAGTGCAGTTCAAAAACCAAAGTCACGAATGCACTTCCACCCTGCAGTCATAGCAAATGAGGCCCAGTACCCCAGCCACTCACCGTGACAAGTGGGTATTGTTTGGCTGGCCACAGATCAGCATGCGTTTCCTTCACCCATTCTTCCACAACAAAGGCTTCTTTTAATCCAGGGAAAAGGTTTTCATACTCTGTTGGATCAGCAAGGGATTCTGCTGCTTTCTGATTGACTTTTGAAAGGTTTTCTCTCCAGAGTTTTACCACCCTATTACAGATATCATGGAACAAAAGGGAGGCTGAGTGAGTGTGCTCTGTTTTAATCTGCAACACTTTTTCCTAATATTAAAAGTCTGTACCTTGAAACCTGACTGGGTAAGTAAGTCCGGGCCAGAAAGGCAGCTTCTGGCAGTCGGCCTGTTCTAATCAAGAGCTCCAGGCAAGCATCAAGCCTAAAGAAGAAAAAGGAAGGTACTGTTACTAAGAATAAACGCTATGCAAAGAGCACTTAACACATGAAAGAAAGAAATATGGACTTAGTATTGCAAAGTCTGCAATTCCTTCCCGGCTCCCACATATACACCTCTTTTTATACCTGAGTCATTGACTCATCATCACTGGTGTGTTTCATAATCAATGTGATAGATAAGATGGCTTTTGTGACCACCTTCAATCTCAACTTGTTTTAAGAACTAAGAAGACTCTAAAGGGGCTTTTTAAGGCAAGAGAAGACAGCAAAGATAAGCATATCTAAAGACCTCAGGAGATGGGGGGCTGAAACCCGCTTTTCCAATTGGGAGCATCAAGGAGGGTGTCCCTTGACACTGGCTGTACTGGATGATCCAGTGGTGTCCAGTAGGAAGATATCCAAGTGCCTATTTTTTAATTTCAAATTTTTGTGTAAATTTGATAAGGTGAATAATGTATTACAGGGTAAAGAATTATTTGGATTTTAGAAAGGCAGTGATACATGCGTGTTACATAGCATCATCAGCATCAAAAGTCCAACAATATTCTACAATAACACATTAATACTAAAAAATGATAGCTTCCAGCCATAAAATAAAACACCTCAGCCATTAGTGGCAAGGCTGAGAAAGGGGTTTAACATTTCTCCTAGTGGAGCCATCTTGAATAGCTCATTTAGCTCAATTATCTAGACAAATGTACTGAGAGCATTCCCTGCTGAAGGCGAGGGCCACACTATCTAAACAGCACTGTCCTCTGACCGCCCCACTGGCAAGAGCAACAGCCATGCAGCAATTCTCTCTCCAGAGGTCATTCTTTACATTCTTTTCCAAAATCCACTCTCAAAGTCAATGAGAAGTGCTTTTAGTTACGATGCCGACATCTTTTAGAGCTTGAGTTAATACTTACCTGCCCTGTAAGAAGTAGCTCATGAAAGCCACATTATTCTTGCCATCTCTCTCTGCACCCTCTGCCAGCTTGTTCACCATACTAGCATTTCCAGAAGCAGTGGCCAAAAGCAACAGACCCCCGTAATCCTGTGCATGGTGCAGGCACTCCTGGGCTAGGCCAAACTGACATTTACTAATGGCAAGCTCAGCAAGTTGTTTCCACTTTTGTTCTGACTGTAAGAGAATTTCCAAGTTAAAATACTTTTGAAATAAACATTTGAATTTCTAACATCAACACTATTCTGTTAACATGAGTATTACCATGCTGACAGTGGAAGCTATAGAGATATATATAGATGTAGCTATATATATATATATATATATATATCGATATGTTATTCCAAAATAAGAATGGAATAACATAATGAATATCAATGAAGAAATGGAAATTATTCATATACAAAATTAATTCAGACATAAATCAATCTTAATGATGCATGAATAATCATTACCAATCTGTTGTACTTTTGTTTTATAATTACACGGTGGAATTAAAAGTAAAACTCCAACTGTAATTCTAAGGCAATTACACTGCAATTTTAACAAGTGATTTAATGTCTTTTTGAAAAAGTAGAAAACTGTATTTGTTCTTAAATATTTAACAATAATAAATATCTGTTACATGTAGTGTCTCACAAATTAAAATGTTGCACATTTGGATGATCTTACATAGTTAATTTATTTTGCACATCTGAAATGAATTTACCAGTAAATAACTAGACATAAATCACAACTGGAAGGCCTAAATATACAAAGACCTGTGAAATTGTCATATAATGTCTTTTAAAATGCCAGAGACCTTTGATATCAATCTTTCCCACTAGGTTGGGATATTAGCAAATTACTGCTATGTTTGCAGTTGCTTAGAATCCCCAGACTAGTTTATCTACTATCTTACTCTTCTCTCCCAGTACAGGTCTCATGTAAGACATGAAAACACCTTTTCGTAAGCAAATTAGAATGCTATGAATATCTCCAACATAATCCATTTAATTTATGAAAGGATTAACATGATTTTTATAAAGACCAAAGAGAAATTACCTCACCAAAATGAGTCTCAAGAAATTTGCATTTCAGAAAATTTTAATAACTATGTTAAACATGTAGAAGTATCCATGACCTTTTCATCAGTTATAAAAACTGAATTAGTACATACCTCTGCTTCCACTGCTAACTGGTATGCAATTTTTAGTTCTCTAAGCTGAAGAGCAAGTTCAAAGCGATGCTCAGGATCTGTGGATACTGTGAGAGCTTGATGCTTGAAGCCCTAAAAAAGATAAATATATATTTATAAGTGTGTGTAGTTATGTATTTAAAATGTGTGCGTAGTCTGTATGTACTGTGTGTATATATATATATATATAGTGTGTATATACATACAGAGTATAAATAGAGAGCACACATACACACACACAGCAAATCATTCACTTCCCTTTCAAACTAGAAATACCCTGCTAACATAGATACCCCTCTACTTGAATGGACCAAAAGTAATGGATAACAAAATACTCTGTAAGGAGATTTGATGTTCCCAAAATACAAATGACAATGTCAATGAACATTACCCCAATAAAAAATTAAAAATAAAGATTCCCAATATTGTTCTTTATATTCTTAAGTTTGAGAATCTGTGAAAAGGAAATTGGCAATTTTCTAGTTAGATTAAAATAGTATGAGAGCTAATTATTTTAAGTACCCATCATATTTTCTAACTTATATA